GGAGTATTTATGTGGGGGGAATCCAGCAAGCTGCTCCATTATGAGCTGGAAAAGGGCCTGTGCTTTTGTCATTGGGTTATCAGGTTGATTTCTTCTTGTTGTTGGTGAGCAGGGACTGGGAAGAGCGGGTGGGGAGAGGGTGTCAGCAGGGTTAGTGTCAGCAACAGATGCTGCTATACATACCACCCAGATGCAAGTCGATGAGGTCACTGTAATAAGACTCTCCCCAATAGTCTACAACAAGGAATTGGTGAAGAGAGAGTTATTGGATCAGATAACCCTCCTGTGCCCCCTCATACCCAAAGCAATCAATGACAGGAAGCATAAGAAACACACAGAGATATAGCAAGAGGGCGAGGAGAACAGCTGGAGAGCATGCATCTCTCTGTAAGTACATCACATATACACACGTGCTATAGCTATATACTTCCTGGTGGTGGAAGGGAGTGCTCGCTAAAAACCACAAGTGATACAGTTAATAGCCAATTAGCAATGTGATTGCTGTTTAGACCTCTGATCAGTTAAGACAGAGCAGAAGGCCCTGGCTTTGCTGGGAGTCCTGACTCTGCTGGGACTCAACTGCATCTAACTAAGATTTTTATTTTTTATTTTATTTTATTTTATTTTTTTAAGATATTTAAAAATTCAAGGGCAGATCAGGGGCTACTTACTGCCTTTTTACTGAACTTTAGATGCCCCAGGCTGAGGGGTTGAAAGCAAGATATGAATATCCTACAACAGCTCTGCAAGGCCACCAATCCTTAGGTTTAAAGGCAGGCAGAGCTATCCCAAGAATTCACCTGTGACCCCACTGGTGAGCCTATCAAACTGTTTGCAGAACCGCCTTCACTGGATAGGTTTGAGATGAAGGAGATCCTGTTTCTTCTGAAGTTAGGCCTCAACTTCAGCCAGGCTTCTTTTTAAAAGCAGGCAATGAACTGTGATTATTTGCCCGTACGGCTCCTGGAGGTCTGCTGGCCACAGGTACTCCTTGCCTTTCAGCTCCACGTGGCTGTGCAGCACGGATGTGACATTCTTCACGTGCCTGAGATGTAGAGACTGGGCACTGCAGAGGGCCTGGCCTGGGCCTGAGTGGTCCTCACGCTTCCAGAATCATAAACAAATGCAGAGTCCGACAAAAGTCAGCTGCTACGTGTTACCCTTTGCCTCCAAATCTCTCAATCTGAATGCTGATCCTGGCAGCCTTTTGTTCTACACGAGGGTTTCCCCTTTAAGAATGGACACACCAGAGAGCAGCATGTAATCCTGGAAAGGTTTTTCAACTCATGCTCAAGGCTGATTCAGCGGTTTAAATTTGAATCACAGTTCCAGAAACAAAAAGGGTTTCTCAGGTGCTCCACACTAGAAATCACATCTGCCCTAGGCTTGAAGGCTCTGCGCCCAATCCTTGTGGCCCGAATATTACGTGAGCCTTAGACCAGTTGAGATCAACAGGATGGCAGGTCCTTATCAGGCCTCTTCTCTGGCAGGGCAGTCTGGACCCAACTCCGACTCCATCAGACGGCTATGGAGGCTCTTTAGCCCATTAGGCAGGACAGGATGGCAGACCCTCAGGGAAGGGGCCAACTAGCACTGCCAGAAGACTCCAAACTACTATGCTCAGCTGAGACGGTCTCCTTAAGGACTCAACCAGGAGGAACCAGACTATCAAGGGGAACGGAATGCAGAAGCAGGAGAGAAATGACAGCCAGTGTTCACAGTTCAGCCTCAAAGATGATCTCTGCCAAGCAGGACCAGGGCCCACTGAGATTTCTGACAAGAGGAGAGCTTTGGAAGCGATGTGTTTAAAATAAGAAAAATATGTTTGGAAGTATATTCTCATGATAGGAGCTACTGTATCTTGAGAATTTCCCAAATGCACCATGGGGAGATCTCCCAATGGAGCTCCCAAAGCCTGCCTTTGAAAATAGGATAAATATGTATTTGGATGAAGGTGTTTTGATAGTTTGCTTACAAGAGTTTGGACTAGAACAATGGTTTTCAAACTGTTCTGTGAGACCCTAGGATTCTTCAAGTGGTCTTCCAATTAATGGATTCACAAATACTTTGAACTCTGTTCAAGCTTACACAACACACACCACATTCAGAAGTCTGATATGCCAACTTTAACCCACTGAAGACAATCAACACATCAATCTGTGCTATCAGGCAAACTTGCTTTTGTGAGGTTCTCAGGACCAAGTTTCTTCTGCCCTCTGTGTGCAAGTATCTGTATCTGCCAAAAGTGTTAGGGAAGAGAATATCTTACATATTTATATAAATACTGGCCTGCAAGTAGAGTGCTCATGAACAGTAGTACAGGACAGCACCCTGGGGAGCCATCACTCCCAGCCTCCAGAGCAGCTCCTGTCACAGTACTGTCCTCTAGGAGGGTGACATCCATGCCATGATACCACAGCAGAGCTGGCTTTTGTGTTCACTGCATGCTTGGGGGCTTTTCTCTGAGATCTATTCTTTATAAGAAATAGGAGCTGCTATTAGATTTGTGAGTGATTCAACTGCGAAAACAATTCCTACTGCTCCACCTTCAGCTCCTAGCATGGAGGTAATTTCAACTGCACACATCCTGAGATGCCCACGTGAACTGTTAAAACACGGTCACCATTCACAGCAACTCCCTCTGTGTGTCAGGATGCTCTCTCCACTGGGCCCCAGAAACGGACTGCATGCGGAGGCCTCTGATGACTGGAGCTCTCTACTATAACCAATACTTCCAAATTGGTGCTTGCAAACATCCTTTTTGATTTAAACTTTAACTTACAATTTGGCTTGTATAAAGGGTTCTGCCGCTAGAAAACAAGTTTGAAAACCATTGAATTAGATGAAATCTTGGCTGTATATTTTTACGAAAAGGTAATTACCTAAATAACTGGAAGGGAGAACTTTGGCAATCTCCCATGCTAACCATCAAGGGTAGATTCTTCTACCCAGCAGCTTGAATAACATGGCCTGTTACAGAAATACTGAAGCAATACCACAGACTCAAACTGCATGACATCTAATAGGTGCTTTACAGAAGCCATCAACCCTGGGGCAGCCCACTTGAACTTCAGAACCTTGTGAGGAGGAGGCAGAGACTGTCTTCCTTGAGGACTTATGCTAACAATGAAATGGAGGTGCATATGCTTGCTGAGTTATTCTGACTACATGTTGGAAGACCTATCCCTCATGTTCCATTTTGGCAGAAGTAACCTGTGGGAAAGGACAGGAAGGAATGAAGGTGGGCTAAAGCTCCCTCCTGACATCTGCAGGAAGAGAAAGCAGTGATATTAGGGCCCTGGGGATCCTGTTACAACTGGTGCAGGGCACCCCTGCTGGGCTCGAGCTAACTCCCTCTGGGTGGGCTAGTTTTACTGAGGGGGCCAAATAAGGGCATGCAGGGCAGGGAGCCAAAACAAAATGGCGGGGGACATCACGGCTTCATTTGGAAGCCTGGAGGCCATTTCAGGTGAACCCAAATCTCCACTCCTTGACACAGGGGCCAGTGCTTGCCTTGCAGTCACACGTCCCAGGCTTCTGACTAACTGGCTGCTCAGTGGTTCAAGTTTTTGCATTTCATTTGGTGGCCCAGCCTTCAAGCAGTAACTCCAGCATCAGGTAAGGCACAAAACCAATAACATCACATCCTCATCATTCTCCCCCATCCCCTCTCGTCACCTGAAGGTCATCACTGAATCAACTGTTCAGCTGCGATTTCTAGGCCTTGAAAGGCCTGGAAAGATCTACTTCTATGGCCAAACGCTGACGTCCCCCACATGAACTTTGGGCTTACAAAACCCTATGAATTCATCTTGACATCAGGCACATACTGTGAGGTCAGCTCAGCAAGATCATATGGCAGCAACTGGTCCTGTTCCTGGCTGCCTCTTACTGGTTCCGCTTCAGTTTATAGAGAGCCTGCCCACCAGGAGATGCACCACCCCTGCCCTTCTGCCATGCCATAAGGAGTAAGGGGCTACTGCAAAGTTAGGTCACCACCTTTCTTCATCCCCAGCCTCACAACTTGAATGCTGAACCTTGGAGGCCTGTGCTCTCTACAAGGAGAGGGAGGTTTCCCCATCCAGAGACTGGACCAAGACTCATGGACTCTCAAGAAAGCAGAGATCAGTCACTCCATGCCTGAGTTGGGGCTGGCCCACTGGTTTCAAGGTCCTGAACCAACGGAGCTTCTTCCTGGGCCCTTGGGACCAGGGATGACTCAGGTTGTTCCTTGCTTTCTGTGTGCCCAACTGTGTTGAATCCACCTCACAGGCTCCTTGGATAAACGGTGGGTGTGACTGCGCTACGTTCCACAGCTCTTCCCTGGGAATGGCAGCCACTGAGCACATGGTCTTCACAGCCATTTCCCAGTGTCTACTCTGCGCTGGCTTGCCACCATCCCCTGAGCCTGCCCACCCTGCCCTGAGTGACCAGCACACTGGGAGACCTGTGTACTCCACACACAGGAGGCGGTGAGGGCTCTGTGGGGCATGTGCCCTCCCATTCTCTGTGCACTCCGAGCAAGAAAGGGAGCCCAGAGAGCTAAAGACTGGAAGTGGCATGTGGGGAGCAGGTTGGGGGTCCTGCTTGTGTAGTTCTGTGATGGCTCCTTGTGGTACAGTTTCCCTCATTCCCAGTTATTTTCTTCTAGAGAAAATGATGGGGTGGGAAAGGAAGAGGAAGAGAGAAGGAGGAGGCCCAGTGCCTGCCACCAACAAATGAAGTGGGCTGAGAGTTCGTTCTACCGATAAATGCCAAGCCCTCAGACAGGGCAGAAGAACAAGTCCAGGCCTTGGGGCAGTCCCAAACAGAGAGGCTTTTCTTTTTCCTTTGCTTAACAGGAAGCCCCGATCTCGGTGATGAAGGGCCCCAGAGAACCCTGCTGGAAAAGAAGCTGAATTCCAGAGGAGGTGACACAAAACTAGCCTTCCATGGGGCGGGTGGGGCTGGGGATTTTCCTTTAGGAACAAACCTCCTCACAAAGGAGACCCAGACAATACCTGCTTCACCACGGAGCGCCTTCTCCACAGCAACCCCTCTTTCCTCCAGCTGCCTCTGCTTCTCCTCCACCTGCTCCAGCTGTCGCTGGATAATCTATGGGAAGACAGACGGTATAAGTACCCAACTTTCTCTCTCCGTCTCCTAGCTTTCAGGAAGACAACTAAAGATAAACAGGGAGAAAAACAAATTAGGTCCAAGAGTTGGAAAGGCTTTAGTCCATGGGCATTATGCCCAGAGTGTGGTGTGATGACCACCTACCTCGAATCCCCCAGGGCCTCGTTAACAATGCAGACCAGGGCCTGCCATTAGTAAGCACCAGAGCGTGTGGGTGCACATTAAAGGAGTGACCAGCCAACTGCAGGGCAGTTCAAAGATAGGAGTAGATGTAAGCTCCTGCAGGAAGAACTGAAATTCTGTAGCCTAAGTAAGACCTTGCTAATGGTGAGGTTGCTAAAGCATTAGCAGGAGTTCTTGGAGGGTACTGCAGAAATCCTGACTCTATAAGATTAAAAAAAAAAAATCTAGAATGGAGCAATGCACCAGAATCTGTTTGGAGGCACACAGTGAGAAGTTTCTCTGTGCTCCACAGGGACTACCCATGGTTACTAGATGGACATTCAACCCAGCAGCAGCCAGTGGCATATATCTGGAGAGTGTCTATGCAGAAAATGAAATAAAATCTGGGGATCCATACAATGCAGAGAATGTGGATAGAGAATAATGTTCAAGAAAAAGACTAAACGACTGGTGTTGTGATGCCTGCTAAACATGGAATTCAAAGGTGTATCTTTGTTGGTATTTGGTTGGTTTGCTGTTAATGTTTCTCATTGTTGTATGAATACAACTGCATGTATATAAGTTCATTAAAAATTTTTTTTAAATGTTTATTTTTGAGAGACAGAAAGAGTGAGAGGGCAAGCAGAGGAGGGGCAGAGAGAGAGAGGGAGACAAAGAATCCGAAGCAGGCTCAGCACTGTCAGCGCAAAGCCCAACGCGGGGCTTGAACCCACGAACCATGAGATCATGACCTGTGCTAAAGTTGGACACTCAACCGACTGAGGCACTCAGGTGCCCCTTATTTTAAAAACTATATTATATTTAGATATCTTCTGGTACTTTGTATAAAAAATTATTTTTTGTTCCGTGAAGAAAATCTAGAATGGTCTAGGATCTGTGAGGCCTGAATACAGAGGCTAATGCCTGGAGGACAGCTCTGACCTGGAAACCCCCGGCCCATCAGAGGCTGCCAGGTCGCCTCTTGATAACAGCTTTCACAACTGAACTAGCTGACTTTACAATGATTACTCCAGAGCAAGGAATTTAGGAAACTCAAAGCATGGCTCTTCCCTTTCTACGAATTTATTCCACAAAAATGAGGCTTCTATAGTTGCATTGAGCCAGAGGCTTGTGGCCTGAGACTTTGGGGCTGTTCTCTCAGTTATCAGGGATACCCCATCTACCTCTGCTCTGCCCTCTTTACCCTCCCTCGTCGTGGACAAAGACCAGCATGTGAGAGAGGAGGGTGCTCTTTCCCACTCGGAGTTGTGGCCCTTTTGGGGATTTTACCTGAGCTCGGTGTAGCCGCTTCAGTTCCTCTTGTTTGGCCTGCCTCCTAGCTGCCTTTTGCACACGCCGGGTCAGCTTGGCGTTCAGTTCCTCCTCCGTGTATGTTCTTGGCTGGAGAGAATGAGAGAGATTTCCTAAGTCAGGTGCAGCAGGCCTGGGACAGGTTTGGGTGCTGGCTGGCAGGGGGCACAGTGAGCACTGTCCCTAGGTCACGGCTGCCCTTTTGCAGAGTGCCCACGGGGCAGACAGGGGGCCGTGAGGTGTGTGCAGATTCCCAGGCTGCAGCTTGGCCAGAGGCTTTGCTGACACTCATCCTTGCTGGAGCCCTAAGTGCTATAGGGCACAGCTAAAGATCTCCAGGGATGGGATCTGTGATAGGGACGGAAGGCTGAGTGGGGACTGCCTGGGGGCCACATGCTCCTTTACCACAAAGATCACCTGTTTCCCACATAAGGATGTCTGGTCTTTTTAAGATTTTCTGGGGGTAAAAACAGGTAATGAGTTCCCCCAAGCCTCCTGCTTCTAGGAGGCATACAGGGAAAGGAAAACGAAAAGTCGGGCTCTTATATTCTTGTTTAGTATCAAATGCCACTTTCTTCAGAGTGATATTTCTAAGGTTTTTAAGAAGTAACATCTCAAGTAGAGAAAATGGGGATGCTTCCATTCTCAGTCTGAGTGAACCCCAAACTAATATAGTCTGAAGGGAGATGTGGAGGTGAACGGGGACTGACTCCAGGATCTGCACCGAGGAGCAGTGGGCCACTGACAGGGAGGAAGGAAATGGTCCAGCAGGGTGGTTTCAGCCAGTGCCATCAAGCCCCGAGGAGGCAACAGGCCAAATCCAGGGCAAATCCGTGGACGCAACTGCCTGAGCATCCCCACCTGCACCGAGGGCAGTGTCAGGTGCCTGGAGTAAACACTGAGCAACCACCATGAGGCACATGCTGGAGGGGCAGGGGTCTGCTTCTATTCCTAAAATCTTATTTCTTCCACGGGGGGGGGGGGATGGGGGGGGGAAAAGAGAGAGACTTTGGTAGACTTTAAAAGGGACTTCCAAATTCAACTCAGGAGTATAGTCTCATAATCTTTATTTTAAGAGCTCAAGTGATCATCGTGGTGTTCTAGAGCCCTAAGCATTTCACCTTGCAGGTCATGGAGCTGAGGGCTCCCGATTCCTGTAGTGCCCAGTCCCAATGGGGCAGCCCTGGAGTGAAATTACCACATGCACTCCAGCCAGTGAAGGGCAGGGGGTCTCACCTTCCTCCATCATGACACAGCTAAAGAAAGTTCTGCTGCCAGTGTTTGCTACCGCTCCATGCATGTGTGAACAGTTAGTGAGGATGTGGCTGGAGGGCCAGGGCTAGGGGCTGCTCCGGGCGGTTAATCACAGACACGCATGCAATGATGACCAGCCATGGGAATGAGACACTACCTTTGATGCATATGATCTCCTGAATGCCAAGGCGTGTGGTACATAAATCAACTTTTAAGGGGATGGCAACAGAAAACAAAACAGAATAGTAATAATAACAATTAAAAATTAAAACTAGAACACAGAAATGGAGCAAAATCAGTTAGAAGTTTAAAACAAACACACAAGACTAAAGACTTAAAACACATGATTATTTTCCACAGTATCACACAGGACTGCGTAAGTAAGGAACCTGAGTATGTAGATCCCAGCAGCAGAGTCTCCGTGAACCCTGGTTTTGAATAAGGCCTGGGTTCACTTTTCCACTAAGACAGCTTCTTCCTCACTATGCCCCAAATCTCCGTTCTCTTTTCACTCTCCCTTGTGTATAATAAACCAAAACTGTTTAAATATATGGTTATAGATGTTACTTCTCCTTCAGTAGCCCATTTGCTTGTGGAAATTCAGACTATTTCTTTCAGCTCAGTGTTATAGGTGGGTGGAAGGGGACAGGTGGTGGAAAATTCCTGTTGCCAGGGACACAGACCACAGATACAGGGCAAACTGAGTATAAAATCTGTTCTCTTCCAAAAGGTTCTCTCCCAGCCAGATAGGTTTCCAGAGGACCACCCAGAAATCCTGGATGGGGATGGAGGCCATTTCTTGATTATACAGCTTGAAAGGTACCTCAACATAAATAACTGATATTCACCAGAAATATGTCAGGCACCTATGTCAGTGAATGCAACCTCTTTTCCACTAAACCTTGAGCAGAGATGCCCAGAGCTAAGGTTACATTTGCTCTCTTCGCTTCTCACCAGCCCCAACAAATGGCTAAGAGGCAGTAAGGGAGCAAGAGAGGGGAGAGGAGCCCAGAGCTCTGGATGCTGCAGACGAGAGATTCTGAGAGCTTCAGGAGGGACTGTAATCTCTTGCTCCCTTGCTGCTTCTCTGTGCATCAGTGGGGACTAGTCTAGTGGAGGCTACATTTCAAGAGCACAGTGGCCCAGAAGAGAATGGGTCTGCCTCCTAGCAGTGACACTGAACTTCGAGCGTGTATGTCCTGCCTCAGACTGATTCTTCCCTGCCACAAACCAGAGGGAGAGGATGAATCTCAATATAACAAGTCCGTTAAAAACACAGAAGACACAGAATTTCCCCAAGCAGCATGTGAACCACTCCACAGGAACTATGTAGCCACAACCACAAGGAACAGCACTTAGCATCTGTACCTTTGGCTGCTGTACCAAGTAAAGAGAGTGGGGGCAATTGCCTACTGGTTTCTGGCAAGAGAGGAAGGTACCAACTTGGCAGGGGCCGCAACTACAGGAGTGAGATCACAATGCATCTGTGGTGCTGAGAAAATAAGGCCGGCCACAGAGCTGAAGCTTCTGCTGTGAAATGGCATGGCCTGACCCAGGGCAAATGTCCACGCCCATGGCTAGGCTGCAGAGATCAAGATGCAGCGCTCCATTCGTATGTACAGTCAAACCAAGGCAAAGGAAAGAGGTAGACGTGAAGTACCTTTGGTTGGTAGGGTCACAAGTGATAACATACATTTAATCTGTATTATCTTAATTTTTCTACATAAGCACTTTAAATAAAAATAAGTTAGTTTCAGTTTCAGTTGTGTGTGTGTTTTTTTTTTTTTTTTGAAATGAAACAAAACTCAGGGACTTGTTTCACAGACACCTGACTCAGAGATGGGTCTATGATGCAAGAGGAACCACTTCCCCCAACTCTGTGGGCAAGCTGCTCGGGTCAGGCATGTCAGCAAGATGCTCCTTCCTGAGTCAATTTCAGCCACACTGTCACTTTTGGTATCCCCTCTCCCCTCACTTCCTGCACTGAAAATTTTCAAACCTAGGAAAAGTTGAAAGAGGACAATGAACCCCTTAGCCCAGATTTGCTAAATGTTAGCATTTTGCCGTGTATTTGATATATATAATCTTTATACATATCTTTTAAAAAATTATTTGTAGTCATTTTTATGCCTACAAATTTTAGCATGTTCTTCTTAGAAAAGACGTTTTTCTACATGACTGTAGTACCTTAATGTCTTACAAGGAACTTAGCATCGATGTGGTACATTATATATCTACACATATTATACCACCCATGATCAAAGTCAATTATTCCAAAGGGTCCTTTATGGCTGTTTTTGTTTTGTTTCCCTGCTTTAGCTTCCATGCTTGAAAATACACAGCACCTGCTCTCGCTCTGCCTGACCCCACACCATGGTGGGATTCTGGTCAACATGTCCTAGGCTCAACTTTGTCTTGAGTATTCTCTGCTCGGCCTCTGTGGGGCACACATGGAACATGAAGTCCCCAAGGCTTCTGATTCTGGGGTTCTAGGAGTGGGGTCCATGACTTGTTCATGTAGAAGGGGAAGAGCTTCCCAGTAAGTCCCCAGGAGAGGCTGTTGTCAGTGACATGGATTACCAAGAAGAAGCCTTGGCATGTATGCCAAGAAGCTTTGGCATAGCCAGCTTGGGCAGCCTGCCACTCTGCATTCTTCCAGGATGTCTCATTAATTAACAGAGAAAAAGTGGAGAGACTGACCACAGATGGGAGTTTCTGACCAACAGGAGATGAACAGGCTGAACATCTGCATGGAAGCAAAGTGAACCTTGGACCTTGATCCTTCATGGACCCCCCAACCCTCCCTATGGTAGTGCCAGTCCCCAGTGTCAGGACATGTTGACCCATGTACATATGTAGAAGTAGCTCTTAGTTCCAATCCCAGGATCAATACTACTGCCTGGGAAAACACTCGATAGGAGGCATATAAAGCCAGGTCCCTGCAGGAGAGAAGGCACACAGATCCCAATAGCTCAGTGCTGTCACTGCTGGCTAGGCTGGGAAAGGTAGAAGTTGGTTCTGCACATGGTGGGTCAGGATGAGGGGCCTGGCTGTTTAGGTATACTTCTAGGAGAGTGGATAGGTAAACAGCTGGTATGGCTGGCAATAATGAGAGGAGAACTAAAAGATGGGTTTCTTCCAGTTGACCAACTTGCTAAAAGCTGGATTGGGCTGGGGAGGGGGAATCGGGAAAAAGCTGCAGGAGTAATCTTTGCTGAACAGGCATGTGCAGGGCTCAGGTCTGCCCTGGCAACTCCCTGGAAGTCGCCGGAGAGGGTAGACCCAAATCCAAACCCTGGGGAGTCTTGTAAAGAAGGTACATAATGTTCTGGGGAAATTTTTCATTCAGAAAAGGGAGCTGAAGGTAGCTGGGCTATCGTCTGGGACAGGAGGGTGAGTGTGTGTCCCAGGGTCAGACAATGGATATGGGACACTTCAACCACCCCTGTGTGCTGCCCAGGCCTTTCTGGATCGTAGTCCCCACGCCCTCATTGTCTCTGTGACACAGATGCCCTGTTAGAACTTCTCTAATCCCTCTCCCTCCTCCAACTTCACTGTACCTACACGGAGCTACAAGACCCTTGGAAATCAAAAGACTGAATACATATCCAAGCGGGCTAGTGATGAAGGAGCGCTCCACATTGAGGTTTTGCTTCTCAGGAGACATGAGTGGACACATCATCTCCTAAGCCTGTAGTAAGAGTGACCGAGTCAGATCCCCAGTGCCCCACTCAGCACAGAACCTAGGTCGGTTTCCTGGACTGGTTCTTTCATAGCAAAACTTCCTCTCTGATCCACAAACATACAAAGCAGGGAGTGACTCAGCCCCCATCTAGAGATGCCTAAACCCTGTCGTCCCTGTCCCAGCCTCCACCAGAACGTGAGGCACAAACAACGCTGTTCCTGTCACTCCGGGCATTGGTAGATGCTATTCCACACGGGATTTCAGAGGACCAAAGAACAAATGGACAGTGCCAGCTGCTTGCTAAAGATCTAGTGAATCTTTAAGTGTGGAATGTCTCTGTCTTCTTCCCAAGAACTAAACACAGGAACTCTTGCCATTGAGGCAAATAAGCCCCAGCTGTTCACTGAAAAAGCCCAAGAGAAGAGCTCTCTGTGTGTGTCTCTTACTCGGAGCTGGGCTGGGCTCGGGAGTCAGCTGTGTGTCTGCTGGGAGATCGGAGGAGGGTGCTCCCTTTCCACCGTGGGCTTGAGATGTGCTTTCTCTTTCTTCCACCCGACCGAAGGCCAATGCTACACGGAGGACGAGAGTCAACTCCTTGACCCCGTCTGAAGCCCCTCTATTGACGGCGCCTACGTACCTCTCGCCTGGACTTCTGGGAGGACCTCTCAAGGATGTCGTCACTGGAGAGGTCAGAGTCCTCTGAGAAACTCAACTGGCGCCGCAGCTGCAACTCTAATGGGATGGAAAGAAGAAGCAAATCGAGGACACCACAGTGCTTTCCTCATGTCTACATTCACACGAGCCACCCAGGGGAGTGGGGTACAGATTTTATTTCTTTCCAGTCTGAGTGGCTCTAAACCCACGCTGGGGAGCCAGGGGCTTGGAGGCTGACCTGTGCTGCCAGGGGCAGCGCGAACACCCCACAGAGGCCCACCTGTTTATCCCCCAGCAGTGCTGCGCTCCGCCTTGCTCAGCATCAGGCCCTCCTCGGGGACAGTGTGACCTGAGGAAGTGCACAGACTACCAGAGTCTCCCTTGCTCAGTTTTAAGCTGGATTTTAGGATTAGTCTATCACACAGAATATGCTATGTGAGCTCATGGCTCAGTTTCGTTCTCCCTCACCCTGTTAGCATTGCTCCTAAGGACCCTTGGGAAAGCGGCGTGAGGAAATGGATCTTAAGAGAAGAACCAAGGGCTGAGAACACACTCCTTATGCCCTGCCCCAGGAGGGGTCCCTTGGTGCTGACGTACCTGCTCTCACAACAGGAGACATCCTGTGCTTGCCAGAGTCCACAGTGGCCCCGCTGGAAGGGGTGCTGGAACAAGACTTGTCATCACCCTTCTTCTTCTTGTCCTTCTTATACCCAGAAAAGACAGACTTCCACAAGGACTTGGGCTTGGCGGCCGCTTCCTCCACAAGGTTTGGGCTGGGCTTCTCTGGGGGCCGGCCCTCACCTTTGGACTTCTTCTCTTTCTTGTTTCTGCGGGGGGAGAAGAGTGACGATCTCTTCTTGGTCCTCCCACTGGAGCCCTCGGATGAGGTGACCGAACCATCTGGGCCCCCCGAGTCCGACGGAGGGGAGAGGACCTCCTCACTAGTGGCTTCGTGCTTCAGGGTGGGCTCCCCGGGGCCTTTGAGAACTGGGCGTTTAGGGGACTCGGGGCCAACTTCTTTACCCTTGGAGGGAAATGAGGAGGCTTTGCGGGAGGTGCCTCCTGGGGGCCTGGAGGTCCCAGCTGCCATCTCCATCTCCTTCATCCTACTCAGCTGATTGGCCATGGCGTCTCTCAACGCCTGGCTCTTCACAGACTTCTCCCTGGCTCGCATGCGCTCCTCAGCCAGCTCCTTGGCTTCTGGAGAGACTAAGGGAAGGCCACTCTTCTGTGGTTGGACCCCACTCTCCAGAGTAGGCAACCTACCATTCTCCTTGGCTAGGGGTGGGTGGAGGGGTCTCTCGGTTCGGGACCAGAAAGAGGGGGGTGTGAAGAACTTCTCCTGCAGACTCGAGTCCTCTGTCCTGTCATCATAGGTGTCCTCCACGTCATCAGCAAAGGGGATCTCGTCCACGCTCTCCACGAACGACTTCCGCACCTCCTCTCGAGGGGGCTGGGCAGGCTCTCGGGGGGCCCTCATAAAGGATGCAGGTGGTGGGGGTGGGATCACTGAGGCCTTGGGCTCGGTCTCCTTATGCTCATAAGTTGGATATGGCTTCCTTCGAAGAGTTGCGGGCTCCTCATCCCGGGGTGGGGGTGGGGGTGGGCTTGAAGGAGGAGTGAGCATGGTGGAGTCTGAGGTGTTGAAGCTCTGGCTGCCCAAGGTCTTCATGTTGGAGGAACTCCCATGAAGGCCCAACCCAGAGCTGCTTGACAAGTCTCTCCTCTCCTCATGGGAGCTTTTCAGCTCTCTGTCAGATGGGGACTTGGGAGTTGGCAGTGAGGGCTGGTCACCATCTGACTTCGACAGGCCCAGCCTCTTAGGAGCAGGTGGAGGTTTTAGAAGCTGGAGCCCCTCACCCTGAGGAGACTTCTCAACTGAATAGGATTTTAGGGACACTGGTTTAAAGGCGGGCGAGGGGAAGCTGGACTCGGACACCTTGCTCCGATCCACGGGTGTGAGTCCGAGGCTACGGCGGATCTCGGCGCTCTTCATCCAGAACTCTGCCACCAGGTCATTCCGCTTCAGGGCTTCATCCACAGCAAGAGGGCTGCCCAGTCTGTCCTTGGTGTCCTCTTGGATCTTCAAGGAAAGAGGAGCCAGGGGGATGGGGGTTTTGGCTGGAATGGGCTGGAAGCATATGGGGGGCTTGGTGGGGGACGGGACAGTGGCCTCAGAGGAAGGCTGGGGCTGGGAGCAGATGGGGAGCTGGGTAGTGGTGGGAGTGGAGGTGGCCAATGGTGACACGTGCTGTGAACTAACTGGGGAGGTAGGTGTCCTGGCTTCCGGCAGAGCCACTGGCTGTGATCGGATAGGAGAGTGCACAGGTTTCTCATCACTGGGTGCTTCTTCTTTGGGCTTCTCTTTGGGGAGCAAAGGCTCAGGGAAGAGGCTCTCCTTGGGCAATTTCACCTTAGTAGCAACAGAGGCAAGTGGGATTCGGGCCCCCTATAGAAAAGGAAGATAGAAGCTGCTGAGAAGCTAGGGTTTAATGGTCAGCAGGACCCCTTGGGGGGCTCTCTCTCAAAGGGCCTGTGTTTGTGAAATAAATTCCTCTCTCTGCCTTTTAGGCTGTTGTCCAAATGGCTCCAGGAGAACCTTTCTTCCTTTCTGCTCTATTTGTTCAATTTTAAAACAACTCTACTTTGTTGAAGAGACTCAGCTTTCAGACACATCCTATATTTTTTGTGCGCCGAAATGGACGCTGGCCAAAGCACACTAACAGATCCAGCTCTCACTCCCAGCTATCGACCCCAAGAGCTCAAGGTCTCTGATGTATGAAAATAGGGGCCACTTTGAGATTTATAACAGCTATTTTTAAATTTAATTTTTTTTATTTTTTTATTTGGGAGAGAGCGAGCAGGGGGAGAGGGACAGAAGGAGGGAGGGAGAGAGAAAATCTTAAGCAGGCTCCACGCTCAGTGCAGAGCCCAATGCAAGGCTTGGTCTCATGACCCTGGGTTCACGACCTGTGCTGAAATCAAGAGTTGGATGTTCAACCAACTGAGCTACCCAGGAGCCCCCAAGTGGCTATCTTTTATAATCTATACAACAAATCATTCTTCCCAGGAAGCTCAAAGATCCAGACATTCCTGCATGGATCCTTAATATCATCCCACCTGTGAGTCCCACTAAAGCTTCCACAGTTTTGCAGATGAAATCACTAAATTCATCTTGCTTCTTAGAATCCCAAAGACCGAATCAAACTAAACCAGGGTTTGAGTTTGGCCTCCCTCTCTGATCTGTCTTCCAGATAGTATTTCCCAAAACATATTCCACAGGACATACTGTTGCGATCTATTTACATAGCATTCTCCAATGCGTGACTCACATATCACTGGTAATCTGGGTGAATACATATATACTTTTAAAGTTTATTTATTTATTTTGAGAGAAAGAATGAGAACAGGAGGAGGGGAGAAAGAGAGAGAGCGAGAGCGAGAGCGAGAGAATCCCAAGTAGGCTCCATGTTGTCAGCACAGAGCAACATGGAGCTGGATCTCACAAACCATGAGATCATGACTTGAGGCGAAGTCAAGAGTCGGATGCTTAACCAGCTGAGCCATCCTGGCACCCCTGGATGAGTATTTTAAAATTTAAGTCATACATTCATTTTAACCTACCACTAAAAAACAAATGCATGTCATATCAAACCAATGATTCCACAAAAATTATTGCTTTAACTTAAAGCAATGGGATGATATATTGGGGCGCCTGGGTGGCTTAGTCGGTTAAGCGTCCGACTTTCACTTAGGTCATGATCTCGCGGTTCGTGGGTTTGAGCCCCGCGTCGGGCTCTGTGCTGACTGCCAGCTCAGAGCCTGGAGCCTGTTTCAGTCTGTGACTCCCTCTCTCTCTGACCCTCCCCTGCTCATGCTGTCTCTCTCTCTCTCCTAGAAATAAGAAATAATTTAAAAAAAAAAGAAGCAAAAACATGGGTTCACACCAAGGGCCTAAGATGAGAGAATTAATACATCCACTCAGGATCCCATCAGTTCTGTCCCCCACAGTGGGCCCCGAGTCCTTACCTCTGCCACAGGGCTGCGGCCCGGGGAGAGCAGACCAGCTTGCTCCTCAGGGGACCGGGGAGGGCTGGGGACTTGGGCGGGACCTGAGCAGAACAGACACAGGCTTTATAAGAGGAAACAACCCCCACCCTTCCCGCTGAGGGCTCCTCTCCCAGCCAGCTCTGCAGAAGGGTCACTATTGGCCAGCAGAAAGAAAGTGCGTTCCCAGAGTGTCCCTGGATGCCACCTCCGCTCGTTTCAGAAGTATAGGCTTTTTTTCACTTGTGCAATCTGTGTCTAAAGCTTGGAGACGTACCTTCTACCCTTTCATAGCTCCAGAGCACGCACAGAAAGGGGCCATTGGCCAAAGCCGTGCGCGGGGTCTGTGCAAAGGGAAGGGGGAAAGAAGGCAACAGGCAGAGCTGTCTGCCACTTGGAGGCTGGTGTGCAATGCACCTACTCTGCTCCGGCTCCACTCCGATGACCTACGTCCTTGGCGCTGCCCCCGTCCTTGCAGGCTCCCTGCGGGAATTCTGGAAGCAGCTTCTGCTGAGACCACAGACTCACCTCTCTTCTGGGGCCCTGGTGTGGTGGCGGGTTGCTCCTCCTCATTTTCCGACACCCTCAGCTCCAGCTCGGCCTCTACCGCTGCCTGGTGCTGCAGGCGAAGCTCTGTTTCAGCATCTGATGGGATATCGTCAGACCAGTGCTGATCTGGCGGAGGGAAGGGAGAGAGCAGCACTTGAGTGAGGCCCTGCTTCTCTACCAGTCTCCTGCTGGCCCCAAAACGCAGCCAAACCAGTCCGCCAACTACGGCACCACTGCTTGATGTCTGGACCTGGTTCTGTGTCCCAGCCGGGCCCTGCCTCCTGTCCCTACTGAGCTTCTGAGACTCGGCCAAAAGTGCCTTATTCTCTGCAACATGGTGCTCTCCTCAGAGCCTGGGGTGCTCCATCTCCTTTTCAAATACACAAGATGGCACAAGATGGGCCGCAGCAGGAAGAAACATAGTGGGGGTGCCTGTGAGGGGCGGGCCTTACTTCACGAACTCACCACGGGTCTGTTTCCCCCAACACCACAGCGAGGTCTATGCTCCCTCACAGTCTTGCCTGGAGTCTTGTCATTTCTCCCTAGTCCCTGCCCCCTTTCCCCCAAGCAACCAGCCTATCATTCTTAAAATACCGTCTCCTTTGTAGCTACCTTTCAGAGGGCCCACTGAATAAAGGCCCTTGCATAAAGCACCCAATCTGTTCAGTTTCTCAACCACAATTTAATGGACACAGGCTATGCTGCATGGTGGCTGACGCGGGGAATGACACACATTCAAGTTAGCAGCAGACCAAGGAACACAACCAGGAGACGTAACGGCCGCCTCTTCAGAGTGCCTCGCTTTTGCTTTAATGTATATTATCTTTCCCAAGTTCCAATCACACAGTGGGGAAGACGGTGGTCAGCACAGTAGAGAGGGGAGGCTCTGGGGTCCCCCGTACCATCATCCAGCTCAGCACCAGTGTCCCCTGTGTCCCCATTCTCCGCTGCCTCCCCTTCTATCTCTGCCGGTTCCGAGTCCACATCTTCCTCCAGGTCATTCTCATCAAATGGGACTGTAAAGCAGAAACATTCAAAGGAAGGAAGAGACAGACAGGCAGACAGAGGCTGCCTGTGCAGGAGGAAACTGGTGGCGGCCTTCCCAGGGCTGCAGTGTGAAGATCATGAGGAGAGGTGGGGAGGTGGACTGTGAAGTGTCTGGATTTGGACCCCAAGGCGGAAGTCAGTCAGCCTTGGGGGAGCTACATGCAGTGTGGGCGCTGGTGAGGGCCTGGGGCCCTTCCTAAACACCCAGGACCAGCACTGCCCGACGCCAGCAGCGCCCAGGGGAAGAGGAAGAGCAGCGTCAGCTCTGGTCGTCTTCTCTTCCCCCGAGGCTGCTGGAAGCTCCTCGGTGTGAGAAGGGCAGAGGGGAAACGCGGCTTCCACAGGCCCAGCAGCAATGACGGCTCGTGTGCCAGCACTCTGCACCGCTTCACAGGCCGCGAGCCATTTATTCCTCACAGTAATCACTCAGAGGGCCTGTGGGAAGGCCGAGGCCAGTTAGGGGATGTGCTCAGGGCCACACTGCTCCATCGAGCAGCTGCAGGGCTGTGTGCAGGTGAAGTCGCCGTTAGATCAGGGACCACAAGATCCCCTGAGGGCACCCACCTCTCCTTTCAACAGGCAGAGATGAACTCTACGCTTGGGATAATTTAGAGAAATGTGTTTTTTTAAGGCATGAAGGAGAGGATGAGGGGCTATGTAAAGCTCACTGTCTAGATGCGAGACAAGCCCTTCAGTGCTGGACAGGGCAAAGCACTCATCAACTTCACTTTCCTCAGGAGGAAGCAGCCCCTAAACACACACACACACACACACACACACACACTCAGACCTGTTCCCAACCTCTGCACACTTAGAACTCACACTAACAGTTTGGAGTAAGAGAAAGCAATTAGGAAAGTAACGTGTGCTGCTTTCAAGGATGCTGAGGTCCCAGTGTTACCTGAGACTGACAAGACTCATCTGTCAGGGGTGCTGAGGGTTTCTTCTAAGCTCTTAGGCACAGTCACTCTCACATCACTCCTAAAGGTCCTCGCTTCAGGAAGAGGGGTCACGCTTAGGTTTGCGTGTACAAGAGCCAGAGGATCAAAGCCCAAGGTGGGTGGGTGGCAGACGCCCTGGCTGTGGCACAGCTCGGTGGATGTTTTAAAAGGCTGTAACATAGTGAGAGGCCATGTAATGGCTGGGCCCCCTCAAGTCAGTGCTCTCCTTGTCCAGTCTCATGAATCTGCATCCCTGGCACCTTAAGGATGTACAGATGAGTGTGGCAGAAATGTGGAACATGGATTCCCAAAGTCTGAATACGATGAAAATCCAGAAAAATCCAGTGACTACCTTTGGAGGCAGGATGGGGAAGACAGGGGAAAGGGCACTTTGAAGACGGTGGGGATGTGTGCTTTCTTGACCTAGTCACAGGAGTTTTTGTTAAAAAAAAAAAAATTTCCTGGGGCACCTGGGTGGCTCAGTTGGTTAAGCATCTGACTCCTGGTTTTGGCTCAGGTCATGATTTCATAGTTCGAGGGATCGAGCCCTGCGCTGGACTCTGTGCTGACAGTGTGGACACTACTTGGGATTCTCTCTCTCCCTCTCTCTCTTCCCTCCCCTGCTTGCATGTACACATGGACTCTCTCTCGTTCTCTCTTAAAATAAATAAATAAACATTAAAAAATAATTCCTAATTATTCCTTTTGTATATTCAGCCTCCCACCCCTTTTGTATACTCAGCTTATAAAAATAAGGTGATGACTTGTATCTAATTAGGATTAGATGCATACAAAACATTAGAACCATGCAAAATAGGTTTGGAATGGACTATGGGGAAAGATGGGAGAATTCCAGAATAAGTTCTAGGCTGGCAAATAGTTAATGTCGCACTCCTCCTTCGGGATACCAGAGCAGCCCATGGAGCTGGTAATGCCACGGTGCTTTCCTGTGATGGTGGCATTCGTTGGGGAAAATATTAGGGGTAAAACTACTCAATTATTTCCACACGTTTAAAACCTTTGCATGATAACTTTGCTGTTTCAGTTCACCAAACACCAGGAATTGAGATTTCTTAGGAACAAAAGTCTCTGCGCCTTTTCAAACCTGAGCTTCCTGTATGGATAACGAGCTCATGGTTTCATGACACCATTTCTGAAGAGGCTGGACAGTCACCTCTCTTCCCCCAGAATCTTTCTCCTCTGGGAGTCACCCCAGCCCAATGGAAATGGAACCTGGGCTCATCCCGTCAGGGTCTACCAGGCTCAACACGTATGCTCAGGTGGACGTGTGAGTGGCTGGGCATCAAGACGGCAATCTGTACTTCTATTGGGCAGCGTGCTGGATGTGGGCACAAAGGAGACCATACTGTTCAAGTCACACTGCCCCAGGTCAGCCCGAACCCAGCCCCGGTTGCTTGGCTGTCACGCAGTTCTCTAACACAGGAGTTGCTACTAAGAAATGTCTGTTGCAGAGTCAGAAGGGTAACAAGTCTATAGTCCTTGGGAGTACCTTGAAAGGAATAATTGTCACATACATTAAATAACAAACAAGTGAGAAATATCAATGCAGCAGCAGCAGAGGCTGGAGAAACGCAGCTTGAGGGATGGAATTGGAAGATTAAATCCAGGTTAAGATGGAGTGCAGAGTGCTAGAAGCTGCCACACTATGAAAGCTGAGAATCACAGACATACTTAGCTTTTGGTTTATTTCAGCTGCCAGCTGGGAAGTCCTGACACCTCAGTCTTGTCCAACCATCCTAGGAGACATAACTGACTAACGAGGAGAGACGGGCAGCAGCTCGGCTCCCCCTATGATTCTGTGAAGGTCCTTCCTGACTTCTGTGCCTGTGTCCTTTTCTCCTGCTGCGTGTCAGGTCAATGGGATGGGCTGGTAAGACGTTGGTGGTAAAGATCCATGAGCTCCAATCCCACCCATCCCAGAAGCAACCTAGTTTTCAACCAAGGGCAATCCTGCCCTTCTTTAAGTGGTATTTGATACTGTGTAGGGCATTTTTGTTTGTTGCCTTGATGGCCAGGGTGGGAGGAGAGGCTGCATGGCTGACGACATTTCAAGGGCAGAGAGGCCAAGGAAGTTAAATGTCCTGCAATGGAAAGGCGTCTGGGTGGCTCAGTCGGTTAAGCATCCAACTTTGGCTCAAGTCATGATCTCAGAGTTCGTGAGTTCCCACCCCAGGTCAGGCTCTGTGCTGAAAGTTCACAGCGTGGAGCCTGCTTTGGATTCTGTGTCTCCCTCTAATCCCCTCGTCTTCTTCTTCTTTTTTTTTTTTTAATGTTTTTTATTTATTTCTGAGAGAGAGAGAGAGACGGCATGAGCAGGGGAGGGTCAGAGAGAGAGGGAGACACAGAATCTGAAACAGGCTCCAGGCTCTGAGCTAGCTGTCAACACGGAGCCTGACGTGGGGTTTGACCCCACGAACCGCAAGATCATGACCTGAGCGAAGTCGGATGCTTAACCAACTGAGCCACCCAGGTGCCCCATCTCTCTTCCTCTCTTCTGAGTGGACTCTGTCACTCTTTCCCTTTCTCTTTCTCAGATATAAAGAAACATTTAAAAAAAATTTCTTTTAGGGGCACCTGGGTGGCTTAGTCGGTTAAGCGTCCGACTTTCACTTAGGTCATGATCTCGCGGTTCGTGGGTTCGAGCCCCGCGTCGGGCTCTGTGCTGACTGCCAGCTCAGAGCCTGGAGCCTGTTTCAGTCTGTGACTCCTTCTCTCTCTGACCCTCCCCTGCTCATGCTGTCTCTCTCTCTCTCCTAGAAATAAATAAAAAAACATTAAAAAAAAATTTCTTTTAAATGTTCTACAATGTAAAGAGCTGCTTGCCCCTTGTTGAGAACTGTTATTACCCACACTGAGAAATACCTGTCCAGAAAAGTTTAGGAAGGACAACCAAGGTTTCTCAGCTGTCTCTTGGCCTGAGTATTTACAGAGACCCCACACATCAGTATGAAGACCCAGTGGATGCTACATCGAGTTATACCCAGCCTGTCCCCTACTGTTCGCAGGACAGCCTCCACCAACCCTCTGCTCTCCACTCTTCACTGAGGAGTCTTCCACAAGTCCTTGAGGACTGAATATTTTCTGCTTGCACTTTGGTGGGTTTGTGGAATATTCACTGATTCCTCTACTTTCACACGCAATTGCTACACAACTTAATTTCTACAGACTGTAGAAATCACTGCTAAAGATGTTCCTTTAGCTTTAAACTTTACCCAACCTTTAGTAATAAAAAACAAGTTTATGTCCTGTCTACGCTATTGCTCTCCTCCGGATCTTCCCTGAAAAGCATGGGGTGCTTGACTGGTCCATGCAAGAGTGGGCTGCCTGAGTGAGGCATGCATGTGCCCCCCCGCCCCGACCCTGGCATGCACTAGCAGCAGGACCAGAATTCTAGTGTTAAGGTACCAGCAGAGCTGCCGAGAGAGAGCGGTTATGGTGAGTGGGTAGAGAACAAACATCACCAGACTACCTCCGGAGACTGTCTCCAGCCAGGCCTGCACTGCTGCGCGGCGTATGGAGGGAAGGTCAGGCACTGAATTTAAAACAGACGATAGATACAAAGTTACACAGGAATGTGTGTTCCCAGTGAGGAGAGTGGAGGTCATCCTAAAGCCCCAAACAGAAGGGAGACTAAGCCAGAGGCTTGTCCTACAGCATCGAGGTGTCAAGAGTCCCACTGTAAGCCTGTATGACGGGCGCTCAGGATGAGAAAAGGAGAAAAAACAGGAAGGGTCAACAGCGGCTCGAGGCTGCAGAGCTGCCCCATGTTGTAGGCCGGTCAGACGATCCCGGGCTCCTCACTCCCGATGAGAAAAGTACTGCTGCAAAAGTAGTTAACAGAGGGTGGTCTTGCCTAGAGATGAAGATTTGGGGCCAGGGAGGATCAAATGTCCCCGTTAAGGGCTAAGTTTCCTGAAGGCAGGTGTGTGGTCCCAACAGGCCTGAATGGAAACATGAAGACAAGTGAGAGACAGCAAGGATTCGTATTTGGACAATGGGTGTGCTGAGGTCAAAGGTGTGGAGAGTGACATGGCAGCCGCCACGTCCCTCAGCTGTCTCCAGTTTTTCCTTTTATTGCTTGTATTCATCTTCACCCTACTGTGGAACACAGTCACCTAAAACCTAGAGCTGGATATTACGCTAGCTACTTTAAAGGTCTCCCTGACATAAATCCCTTGAAACTTCACCTCAGTTCAAAATATACTGCCCCATCCAGTCCTGGCAACATACATTCACACTCAGACACAACACAGGAGGAAAGCATCAGAACATTTTACCAAGTGGACAGAGTTACCCTGTCTAGTAATATGGGGAAAGAAAGCAAAGTCTTGGTTTTCCCAGGGTCAAGTTCACTTTACTATTTTGCATCCGTGGAGAAAGAGCCAGCCCATAACCTCTTAACCCCTAGAGAACTTTACATATCCTCAAACAAAAGTTAAGGGTAGTGGTCACGATTAACACCAGGAAAACAAAATGGTCTTCGGCTCTTACAGTTTGATTAACCTGATGGTTTTGACCCTACCAGAAGGGTCCTCTGCAGCAATGAGAGGGGAGACAGGGACAGAGCTGCTCTGAGAGGCATATCGGGACCTTGGATCTTGAAACAGTTACCTCTAGAAGTGGAGGACTCAGAGGTTGGTACCATTCGCTCCTCCTCCTCTCTCTCTCGAATATGTGTCCAGTGCACATCAGCCTGGATTTCCAAGGGGTCAGCCGGATTTATGATCTGCTGTAGCCTCTGGCTCCCGACTAGTGTCCCAGGGTCAGAGGTGGAAGAGATGAGGAAGGGAGAGATGATGGAGGAAGGAAGCAGAAAACAAACAGTAAAGGGAAGGATGGGATCAAACACCACAGGAAAGGAAACAGAAAGAAAAGTTACCGTAATTGCCAGATCAATTGGAATCAGAAAGAGGCAAAAATTGAGAATATACACACTTCTATGCGCACACAGCCATGATTTCTACTTGTTCAACTTGATTTTGCTGTTTCAAGCTTCACGTACACTGTTCATTTCAATGAAGTGAACCATACATCCCAACTCTAAACAGAAAGAACTCTCCTTTCTGATGCTCTTTTCCTTTCATCTGCATTTGAGGGACCCAAATGCCAAGTCAGAAAAAAGAGCAGGTTACAACTGGCGTCCGAAGGGCCATCCCTCCGGGTCACGAGTACTCCTCCCTGTTAGTCAGCTCAGCATGAGATCCCAAAGGAATCATCACTCATGCCCCTTCGGAGGATACACAGCATGGTGCTTACCATCACCTGCCATGTTGACAGCGTCTCCTTTGAGATTTAAGCCAAGTGACAAGTGAGAGATGGATGGGACAGTGTCATTCTGTCACGAACCACCTAACTCACGCAGGACAGAAATGTACTTTGTTGGTACTTCAGTGTTTAGAAGCTAGAGAGAGAGGAAAAAAAAAATCCCCCTTCTATAATAGATTTCATGCTGCATGCGGGTCTGCGGCAGGGATACAGCTATGGGGAGAAGATGGAGATCAGGGAAGGCGATGGCTGGGAGAGGAAGCAGAGCTCTATCTGGTAAATTCCCAAGACTTCAGGAGTTCATGGGCAGGAATGAAACAATCTCTCTCTGCTTCTTCAGAGGTTAAAGCCCTTTTCCTTAAAACCCCATTTGGTGTGCCACTGCTCCCCTCTGGACAGAAGACCTGCCTTTTCAGCTAAACGAGAACTCACCAGCAGCCCCTTCAGATTATTCCTGCTGTCAGAGCCCAAAGAATATACATGCAGCCCCTGCCCTGTAAGCTCCCTATAATCAGTGCTTGGACCATGCCATACAGTTGGGTTAAAAGAAAGGGACAGCCAGCAACTTGGGGGAGGGGACGCTTTGGGAGGGAAGATGGCTTTTCAGTAGCAAGAGCAGGTGCCACCTGATCTGAAGGAGCCTGGGATTCCTGATGGGAGCCTACTCTCAACTCTCTAACTGGACGATTTGGCTTTGGCCTCATCACTATTATACAACCTCTCAATTTTTAAGCAACGGGGAATGTGATATGGACAGAAAGTACCAGTAAGACTGCCAAATGCGGATGTGGGCACCACGCTGTGTTAAATGTAGGGTGATATCCCTGCGTGCACTCTCCTGTCAGAGCTGCCGATCTCTACAGATTTGTTTTTCTAGGGTCAACTGGCTTCTGTGGTGTTGGATGGGGCTGAATCTCGGCAAAGTCACCCAACAGCTTGAATGTCATGTGACTAATGAAGGGAAGTCAAAGAGAAAAACGCAGACCTTTTCTTCATCTTCTGAGTCATGAAGAGAAGAGAGTGAGTCTTCTACCTCGATAATGTTCTGCTTCCTGTTAATAAATGTAGCCCGGGGGACGTATCAGCCAGCATGTCCTCCTCTCTCAGAGAAATGTTACAAGGCACAGCGGAGGAAGGTTCTGGGTACCTGTGCTGGTGACCATACCTGTGCCGGCTCCCCCGCTTTTGACAGCTGTGACTGTGACGTGATTTTTTGGCATTACAAGAGGCCGAGTCTTCACTAGATGAGGGGACTTACAGCAAAGCATACAAGGGGCTTAGATGGGGCCACAATTATTAAGACTGCTTCTGGAGTCTTTTTCTCAGACTTCCCCTTGACTCTGCTGGTCTTATATGCTATTTGGAACATGACTATTCCCAAAGGCTGGGCCCAGGGTCAGGTGCCCAGCGAGGCGTGTGTCAAAGCCTGTCTGCGCAGCTTTATAAAGCACAGATCTTTTAATGTGGGACCTGCTCTTGAAGGCAAATTCTAGGTGGCTGCTAGGGAGCCAGGGTAGAAGGTGGGCAAGGGGCAGAGTGGGTACCTTTACATGTACCCGTATCTTCTTCCTTTGACAGATGCTGGAGCCACTGGCCTTGCAGGAGTTCTCTGTCCCAGGGGCAATACTCCCCTTCTACAGCAGGGGGAGCCAGACACCCACAAACACAGCATCAAGAATTCCCGCATGGGGATAAAGAGAGAAAAGAGAATGGAAAGGAGGAAAGAGAATAGAGAAGAGTTATCTTCAGGTGCAAGGCAATAACATCCTGTCATTGTCTACACAGCCACGGAAGTCCACTGCCTAAAAGATACACACACACCAAAGGCCCAGAGTTGGCTGAATTTGTCGTTATGTGCTCCTCCAGTTAAATCCCATTCCCTGCAGGTTTGGTGTTGATGCTAGTTCCAGATTCAGGAAATGAAGCCTGCATGAGGGAAAGCAGGGCTAAAGTCTCCTGAAAAGGGCACTGACCCTTTTCTGTGTCTGACCCTAAGCTGTGTCTGGGGCTACAAGCCACTGAACGTGTGAATCACCAGACAGAGATAATGAGAGAAACAAAGTACCTTTCCCCTGGATGAGCTGTTGAGCACAATCACCGCCTCTGACTAACGGGGATGTGGAGGCAGCCCTGGGCCAGCCACGGCTCTGCACACACAGCAGTTATGGAGAAAAGAACCCAAGGTGCCAGCTTCCCGGCCTGGCCTCCTTCTTGCACAGAACTTACTCACTTCTCATTCGGGGGAGGAAGAAGGGCCAGGCCACCAAGTGCTGCCTCTGAGGGCCCCACCCCAGCCTCTGTCTTTGGAGGGAAGAGCACAAGAGAACTAGGTCTAGAGAAGCCCCCTAGGGGCGTGGGGATGAGCCCTGCCTCTGGGCATTCCCACCGGCACTGGGCCCCTGGGGGGCAGGAGGAGGCTTTGCTTCCTTCTTGCCTGCCCTGCCTCAGCAGTGTCTTGGGCTACACAGCTCTCAAGACCTGCTCAGTAACGTGCACCCTGTCTGGGAAGGGTTCTGCATCTGGTCAGCACGCAGTCCTTCCTGTGCCAGACTGCGGGAGAGGACAGGGTAGCCAAGCACACCGAATTCCAGAAGGAGCAGCAGAGCAATCTAGTGCCAGCTCTATGAGGCCCGGGGCTGTCCAGAATCTAATGTGCTCCTCTGACAACGGCTGGGAGGGATTGGTGGTTTAAAGGCCCATGTCCTTCTCTTCCACTCCATGTCCTCTGGATAGAGAGCACGGCCGTGAATTGACATGGCACCATCGTCAGGGGAATTCCGATCTCTCTACCTGCCCTAGTTTCTTCCTCCCAACCCACCAGACCTCTGTGTAGTCAGGGCAGGGAAAGAATGGCCCCCTCTCTTACAGACACAAAAAAGGAGGCCCACCAAATGCTTCCTCATCACTCAAGGACACACACAGCCAGAGATAGGGGCAGAACTGAAACATTCAAAGCCAAGGCAAGAGAACATTTCAGAGCCAACCAGAGTGACTGAATCCTGGAACTGATGCTCTGTCTCAGGACACTGGTCCAAACATGTTACTACCTGTCATCAACTGAACCCTGTCTGGCGGGCACCTAGCCCCTCCTCAGTGACAGCAGCTCTGAACGGAGTGAGAGTCAATGCTCTGCAGCTTCCAACAGCCCGGACTCTGAGTCAGGGAATCCCCTAGAAAGCTAAATTCCCTGTCTTCGTTAAAATAAATTTTTTTAATGAAACTAAAGGAAGGAAGAAAAAAAAAAAGAAAATGAGGGGAGAACGAGTAACCTAGTAAGGTTGGAGTCCTTATGCTGTTGACCGTCTCTCTGCCTTCCACTTCCAGTCTCTACTCAAAATGTTCACAAGGGACATTACTTCCGCTGTCAATTGGCCTCCCCTACCCCCCAAATCTAAGGCTAGAGAGAGGCAGGAGGGATGGTCTCTGGGGCCGTAGAAGGCACACTCTGTGTGCCTCCAGCCACAGGAATCTTACTCAAGCACAGAACAGACTGCCTCAGGGATGGGACAGGGTCAGAATTAGAAGAGGTATTTTTCTGACCTTCACTAGACTCTTCCTCTTCCTCCTCATATTCTTCCTCTTCCTCTTCCTCCTCTTCTTCCTCCTCTTCCTCCTCTTCATTCCCAGGCTCGTAGCTCTTTGAGGCCTCCAGCTCCTCTTCACTCTTTCCTTTCAGAAGGGCATGGATCCTCACAGCCTCCTTCCAAGGAACACCACCCAGGTCTGAGGTGGGCAGAGGCTCCTCTTCCTCCTCCTCCTCTTCCTCCATCTCGGACTCAGAACTGCTGTGAGGAAAACAACCACACAACCAAAATGAGGGAATGACAAAAACTGAGAAGATGACGCTCAGAAGCCACAACCCAGAGGCAAAATGTCCCAGCAAAGCAACTGGGCAGGAAAGGAGAGAGGACATGCATGGAGGGGTGTGGTGTGCTATCCTGCTCAGGTAAGACTCACAAGGGGAAGGAGAGAGAGGGCCAGAGGAAATATACACGTATGAGTAACCCCCACATAAACCCACATGAGCCTACAGCCAACATCTGGCGGGGGGCACCCTCTGTTCAGTGAACTGCCACTCCACCGAGTCCAGTTTCAGAGGCCCTCAGAGACAGTAGGAGGCACAGACTCATTCTGATATGAACTCATGACCCTGGGAAGCAAGAACGGAGAGAAAGTCCCCTTTCATCGTGATCTACTGTTTGGTTTGAGGAACTCAACAATACTTGACTCAGGTGGGTTGGCAGGCTCTCATGGGAAACACGGTGAGAAAGAAAAGCTGCCTCCAAGAGGCCTGAACTGAAGTCTTAGTCACAGACAGGCTGTCAACCAAGGAGCATGTGCTGGAGGAAAGGCAGCACAGCCAACTCCACAGTGTTCTTTAGTCCCCATGACGTGCCACACCCAGAACCGGATACCATGGGGAATACACACCATGGTCACAAAGGTGCTGTTTACCACAAGGTTATAGTACAGGGACTATGGGGAGAGGGTGGAAACAAATATCCTGATCACTGGGGTCATCGCCCTGGACAACTAACCACATTTTCCACCACCATTTCCTTTACTTACGGTACATGGCCTAGCTCAGCTTGAAACAGGAAGCAGCACTACATGCGAGAAGACCCTGCCCATGACCTGTGCAAGCCAAAATCATGAATCTCCACCCTCGAGGCCACCACCCGGGACATTTCTACCTGCCTCTCCTGCCTGCAGAGTGAAGCAGTCAATAGGAGGTATACAAATAAAAGTCAGTGCTCTATAATACAGCTGTAAGGCAGGAGAAAACCCTCAAACACCATTACACAAATGAAGTTTCTCAGACCCGTTTCATGGTCTGATAATTCCCAAAAATTCTTTTACAGGAGAGGCTTTGCCCTCAGTGAGAAATGCGTAGTTGAATGCGCGGGAGGAAATTTGGCTTTTATAATCAAGCATGGTCCAGCCTCTGGCATGAGAGAACCTCAAACTCCAGAAGCATCAGGCATGGGATGGATGTCCAGTCCAATATTCCTGTGATGGTGTGTGTGTGGGGGGTGCTCCCTCCCCACCCAGAGTGGGGCTGTGCATTTGGAGAGGGAATCAGTGAATATAGTGTGATAAGGTCAATGACACCTCACTACCAGTGCTATTAGTAGCACCTGTGCAGTAAAGAATTTAACCTTGCTCAAAGAGAGGTCTGGCCTTTGTCCTGGCTTCTGGGACATAAACTCTAAACCACTGGAAGGTCTTGCCTGATGGGAATGTGTTTATTTACATAGGATCCGTGGGTCATGGTAAGTAGTCTAATAATGTGATTTAGGGTGAGGGCTGACCACATCAGAAAGACCGACAATTTAGGCTGGTGGCATTGAGTTATGCAGTATTAGTTGGCCTGGAGACTGAGATCAATCACACTACGTGGATAATCCGTTAACCTGTCCATCAGTGCCTAGGTAATAGAGCCCTATAAAACCCCCGAACACCAAGGCTTGGGTGAGTAACACTATATGGATTAATACCAAGAAAGTAACACTGTCCTGACTCCATAGGGAGAGGACAATGTCCACATCTGTACGTTCTCAGACTCTGCCGTGTGCACTCCCTCACTTGGCTGATTTTAAGAAGTATCTTTCCTTGTAATTAAACCATAACCACGAATATATGCCTTTTAGTGAGTTCTGTATCTTTCTAACAAATTAACTGAGCTTGAGGGAGGTTTTGGGAACTCCCAGACTTCAGTTGGGTCAGAAGTGAGGGCAGCCCTAGAGGCTGTACGCCTGCCTACCTCTCAGGTCTATGTTACACTGGCTCTACTGCTTACCAGCTGTATGGCCTTGAGCTGATTATTTATGCTGAGTCTCAGTGTCCTCATCAGTAAAGGAGGCAATGTTAACACATACCTTGTGGAAACGTTGTGAAGATTAGTGGTTTTACTGATTTTCATGTTTGTGTTATACTCTGGGACTCTAGCTATTCACTTCTTTGTCTACTCATTTACATATTCATTCATTCATTCATTCAATGAACATTCTTGAGTACCTATTAAAACTTAACCAATGGATACAAAAATAAAAAGAGCCAGATCCTTACTGTAAGCAGCTCACATTGGTGAATACTTCATTCATTCATCCATCCATCCATCCATCCATCCATCCATCCATCCATCTACCCAGCCATTAAAATTTACTTAGTGTCTTTTACTTATAATGCACTTCCTCAACATTGCATAGAATATAAAGAATAAGATCCTTACTCTCAAGGGGAAGTAAGATGCAAACACAGCATGATAAAATAAGGTAGGAAATAACTGTAGTGGAATGGGGGGGTTGAGAGGAGGCAGTTTAAGGTGAGGTAACATAAGAATTTGGACCATGGAAAACCGGCATCTGGATTTTGACTGTTTTTCAGTATTTATGTAGGTATTATTTTTGCCTTACTTTTGTATTTTCATGTTTATTATTTAACAACATATAACGATGTATATCACTTAACATCTTTCAAACATGAAGCAAGGATAAGAATTCCTCCTACGCTCATCTTAAATCTTAGGTAAATTTATTCAGATTTCAGGTAGGCAGAAGGCAAGCCAGCTTGCCCTTCCTTCCCAGTCACGAGGTGACTCCAGCAGTCGGCAGGTGCAGTGGGACTACACTGCCATTTTCTGAGAGAGGGGCCTTTGGCACAGCCCAGTGGTGCTGTGCGTAAGTCAGCAATTAATACTCTATGATGAGGGCAATGGGACTCACAGCCATGAGTGTTATCCTGGCTAGTTTTATGACAACTCAAGGACCATGGGAGAATAGCAAGTGAGGCATGGAGCATAAAAAATAGGGTGAAAAGGTCATCCCTGCCTTTCTTCATAAGCTATTAGCTCTCAGTCTATTTCTGAAAGGCCTTGTTACATTGTTTCTGGAAATCTGAGAAGGCAAACCAGCCTCCCTCCCTCTGTGAAGGAGACAGGTGGACAGGCATTGCCAACTCTTCCTTTCTAGGCCATCACATCCATGGGACCTTGGGGCAGTCCCCTGAATCTTACCAGGCTCCTTGTGTCATGCAAGATTCACAGTCTAAATTCACTACCTCAAGACTCACTTTACATTTTTTGGCTGTTCCCAGTGCCTGAATTTCTGGGTCTGGCCTTTGAAGAGGCTGAGGGAAGGGTACAGAGAAGGAATCTATAGTGAGGCAGACACTCTCACCCCTACTTGGACATCAGCCTAGATACATTTTAAGTGGGAAGATCACTACACCCGAACAAAATACAACACGGGGAACAATTTTTCTGTCCTTTTGGGAAGAGAGGGTGACCTCTCAATTTATAGCCTCCTAGGAGGCGGAAGATCAGCATTTGTAACAATCTATTGTTCTGTGTGACTGTTTGACGCAGGTCCGCCTCCCCTGGACTACACTCTGAGGGCAGAGGCCCGGTCTGCTTGGCTCACTGTAGTGCCGCTCACAGTGCCCAGCACAGCCAAGAAAGGCAAGGAAGGATGTACAAGGGAGCACAACCAGGGAAAGCCAGGGTGGGCTGCTACCTAAATTCACAGGCGTCAGAATACCTCTGATGCCCCCTGGTGAAGTAGGAGCAGAACCTTTCAGCTAGAATGACATCTTGCAAAAATCCTCCCTGCTACAATTTATATCTGATCACTGATCTCAAAGCAGTCTCCCTGAGCTTCCTCTCAGGTGTCATCTTCTCATTGAGGTTACGGTGGGGCCTGGTAGGAAAAAGCAAGACCAGCAGGCACATGAACTAGATTCTAAAAAAAACCAAGAATTGCTCCAGACTTATGTGAGCTGAGCAGAGGATCTGCTATGCCAGGAGGAGAAAGGCCAATGGTGATCATCACAGTGGTGATGGCGAACACTTACTGAGCCCTGATGAAGTGCCACGCAACACAAGGCACTTCACATGAATTAGGCCACTCAATTAAACAGTAACTCTAGAACCCCAGGACATATTAATATCCCCATTTTTTACAAATGAGGCCACTGATGCTTAAAGAGATTGGATCACTAGTGTGAGAGGTCAGGATTCCCACCAGTGTCCACACCTGTCACACTGTGCCCTCCCGGATTGTTCACCAAGAACCCAAGAATTCTTCAGCCACTAGCAGCTGTTGGGGGGGAGGGGGGGGAACCCAGGAGCAAGATCATGACCAGTCTCCTGGCTGTCTGGGTCTAACTTCAGAAAGTGGATATTGGAAATCTGGGCAGGCCCTACTGTAAATGAAGCAGGCTGCTGTGTGAAACAGCATGTGAAGTTCTCACATGGTTTAAGGGAAAGTAGGGAATCATGGCTTTCATTTTAAAATGAATCTACTCATAATCAGAGAGTCCACTCCTAGATCCCACCCTCTCTGACAACTGTATAAACATTATACTGCTAAGCAGACTGCTGGAGAAGATGTATATTGTCCAGCAATCATTACACAATGGACATTTAATCCATGCTAAAAGTAGCATCCTGCTCAGCAATGGCTCATATTACTGCCTCTGCTGAAGAAGGGGTGAGGAGAGAGGGGAATGGTCAGGGATTTCCACTTACGCTGGTAAGCCTTGAAGGAGGGGCTTTTCCTTATTGTGTTACTCTGATCGAGGGCAAAGCCCCTTTTTGTTGTTGTTGTTTTTTAACATTTATTTTTGAGAGACAGAGAAGGACAGAGTGTGAGGGAGGGAGGGGCAGAGAGGGACAGAGTGTGAGGGAGGGAGGGGCAGAGAGAGAGAGAGACACAGAATCCGAAGCAGGCTCCAGGCTCTGAGCTGTCAGCAAAGTCTGATGTGGGGCTGGGACTCAAGGGCTGTGAGATCATGACCTGAGTTGAAGCCAGATGCTTAGCCAACGGAGCAACCCAGGTGCCCCAGGGCAAAGCCCTTTTGGGCTGGCCTGTCATTGACTTTTGGGGAGTCCTCTGTAACCTGGCTGTCCCAACTGGAAAGGGTACCTGTTTGCTCTAGCGTTCACTGATTTGTTCTTTAGAGCCAGCAATGTATAAACACTAGAGGACTTCAGCAGATGAGCACTGCACAAGCCATCTTCATTGCCTGGGGCAACGTTTTCTAGCTAGGCAAGCAGGGAAAAAAACCCTGGTTTTTTTCATAATGCCAGTTTTCTTTCATCTTCAGGCACCTGTTTTCTTCCAGAGAAAGTGAAAGTACTATTTCCAGGGTCTCCTTTGGAAGATGCCCCCCTCCCCCACTCCAAGAAAGGATCACGGAGCTAATTAGGTCTGGGCCAATAGTCTCTGCTTGTGCAAACTAAATCACGAAGCAGGCAAGACTCACCTAGGGGGTTTGTTAACAACAGACATTCCTGGTCTCCATCCCCAAGCCCACTGAATCAGCTACTCCAGGGGAGGGTCCAGGAATTACGTTTTTATCACTGTCCCAGGTGGCACTTTTCATCAGGGAAATCTGGGAAATTTAGAGTATCGATTCTCAAAGCGTGGCTTCTAGACCACAGCATCACCTGGGGAACTTTTTAGAAATGCACATCTTGGGTTCTACCCCAGATGACTGAATGAAACACAGCCCAGCAATCTTCAGTTTAGCAAGCCCTCTGGGTGATTCTGATGTAGACAAAGTTTGATCAGCACCGCTCTAGGGCAAGGTGATTCCAAGCCAAACCCAACTCTGGCAGTTAAACCAGCCCTGTATGGAACCCAAGACAAGAATCACTGGCCCTGCCCCTCCTCGTGAGGGGTACCTGTATTGTGCTTAGAGCTAGAAGGCACTACGGTGGTAACAGTAAGGGTAGCAGTGATTTAGTGCTTCCTGGGCACCAGGCACTGTCAGTTGCTTTATCTGATTTCATTCTCATAACAGACCAATGAGTTTCTTGCAGTGTTTTTTGCAGATGAGGAAACCGAGGCACAGAGAAGCCAAGAAATTTGGCCATAACCACTACGTGGTAGAACAAGGATTCAAGTACAGGTTTGTTTGACTCCGAAGTCATGCTCTGAATTATGATACTGCGATGCTCCCTCAAGCAGATGATGAAGTTAAAGAGTTCTTTAAACTTGTCAAAAGTGAGTTCCTGGGTTGGACCAGTTAATTTCTTAAAACAGTCATTCCTCATCTTCAAGTCTAACATATCATCAAGGAAGGTCTGAGGGCTGAGGATGCACCTAACTCTACTTGGTGCTGTAGGGAAGACGGAGAAAACACACGACACACTGCCTGCATTTGACAGCTACCCTGGGGAAAATAAATCTGTGGCTCCTTCCTCTGGGCACTTTGGTTTAAGAGACCATTTTTTCATTCTGCACAGAGCTAATGCCACTTGTTTCTGTCGAGTTTAAGAAACAGGCACCATTTGGGGCACTTAGCTGGCTCAGTTGGAAGAGCATGTGACTCTTGGTCTTGAGCCCCATGTTATGTGTAGAGATCACTTAATAAATAAATAAACTAAAAAAAAAAAAAGATGCAGGCACCATTTAAGGCAGACTGATTTCATATACTTCTCTCCTGCCCTTCCTATCCACCCTGCTACATGTGCCACAGTGTAGCCTTCCTGAAATGTCTTTGCTACATGCTGCTGCCTCCTTACCTGTTAGTTTACAAATCACAGTGGAGGAAAAATGACAATGGCAGAAAAGCTGGCTGACCACACCCACCCTGAGGCTAAGCTATGAGCTCTTGCAGAGACTGGGCTCTCCTCATCTGCACAGAGCAGAGATGCATGCTCTGCCAGTGTTCTGGGTAGAGATGTAGTTGTGGGACAACAGTGTGCATGTGGTGATGGCTTCTGAAATGCCGGTACCCGGGAGAGGCTGACCGACAATGCACAGAAATACTATCCGGAAGCCAGCCCAAGAAGCAGTTCATCCTAAGTGTGTCTGAGGTAGTGGAATGCAGCTGCAAGTAGCTCTGCCCAGCAAACACCCTTGGAAGAACATTCTTGGAACTTAAAAAAAAAAAAAGCACTGCTTTTTTATCTGCATGCATTCCCTTACGGCAACAAAGAGGCAACCTGCAGGTGCCTCAATGATAAGGCAAAGCCTCTACCAGTCTGGGAGACAGCGTAAGAGCTCCCACCCCAGAAGCCCTGTGGGACAGTCTGACCCATAGCGGTTTTCCTCCATCTTTTTTTTTTTTTTTAATGTTTTATTTATTTCTAGGAGAGAGAGAGAGACAGCGTGAGCAGGGGAGGGTCAGAGAGAGAGGGAGTCACAGACTGAAACAGGCTCCAGGCTCTGAGCTGGCAGTCAGCACAGAGCCCGACGCGGGGCTCGAACACACGAACCGCGAGATCATGACCTAAGCGACAGTCGGACGCTTAACCGACTAAGCCACCCAGGCGCCCCACTCCATCTTTTATCTTATTCCCTTTCGGTGTCCTTGATAATCTTCATGGAGCACTCCGAGTCCTGGAGTGACCCTGGTAGACCTGGGCCATACAGAAAATGAGGCCTTGGGGTAAAGACAGCAGACTCAGGGAGTTCTGTGGGGGCTGGAGGGCACATGTCCTCCTCAGGCATCTCTCAGTTATACTTAATTAAAACATCGTGATGGCCGAGCACAAAACCACTGGCCCCTGGTACGCAAGTTTTCTGCTCTTTTTTTTTTTTTTTTTTTAATTTTTAAATGTTTGTTTATTTTTGAGAGAGAGAGAGAGACAGAGTGCAATGGGGGAGGGACAGAGAGAGAGGGAAACAAAGACTCTGAAGCGGGCTCCAGGCTCTTGAGCAGTCAGCACAGAGCCCAACGCCGGGATGGAACTCTCGGACCACGAGATCATGACCTGAGTCTAAGTCAGACACTTAACTGACTCAGCCACCCAGGCGTCCATCAGCTCTTCTCTTTATACAGAGGAGAGAGGAGGAAGTCTGGAGAGGTGAGGTGGCTTCCCCAAGACTGCAGAGCAAACTGGTGTCCACAGAAGCCCTTAATTCCAACCCTGAAGCTCCGTCTACCGAACTGCCTGCCCCCCCACAGCACACTGCTTATGGTCTCCGTTGTTCCTGTGTGGAAGTCCTTCCTCTCCAGCAAATTTGCAAACAACACCTGAGGGCAGGACCTGGGACTGTTTGTTTTTTTTTTCCTCTTACCTTTTCAATGAAAGACAAAGTGTTAAGGCCACGGTAGGTATTCAAGAAATACTGAATCTCTGAATTAAGTCTGATGGGTTGTGATTCTTACTGGCTAACAAGATGAAGAGAGAGGGGGGGGCGCCTGGGTGGCTCAGTCGGTTAAGCGTCCGACTTCGGCTCAGGTCATGATCTCACGGTTCGTGGGTTCGAGCCCCGCGTCGGGCTCTGTGCTGACAGCCAGCTCAGAGCCTGGAGCCTGTTTCAGATTCTGTGTCTCCCTCTCTCTCTGACCCTCCCCTGCTCACGCTGTCTCTCTCTCTCTCTGTCTCTCAGAAATAAATAAATTAAAAAAAAAAAAAAAGATGAAGAGAGAGGGAACTGCATAGGAAGGGGAAGTCAGCAGGCAGTAGGGAGAACAGGAAGAGTCTTAGACTTGGATCCAGGAAACCCGAGTTTGAATCTTAGACAATCTTTGATCCAAGAATTAGTCACCATGTGTTTCCTTAACCACAGAATGATAAGATATACGTTCTCGTCTACTTTGGGGGATTCCTGCAAGGATGACCAAGTGAGCTGATGGATGCAGAAGTCCTTTGTACATGCTCAGCACTGTGCAAAGTGGTAATAAAGGCAACCACCATCGACATGCACTTACCTGCGCCGCATACGGTTTTAAACACTTTACACTATTTAATCCTCACACCAATTCTGCGAGGGAAGTACTCGTACTGCCCTCATTTCACAGATGAGGAAACAGGCTGAGGGAGGCTGCACATCTTGCCTAGTGTCACACAGCTGCTGGTGGCACAGATCCTCAGCTCAGATCCCATGCTGAGGGCATAGTGCTGCCTCCCCCCCACCCCCCAGCAGGACAGGATAGTCATCTGGGGAAGAGGCTGTTAGGGCAAGCCACGGGCATGCTGCACACACAAGAAAGCGGGGCTGGAGCTCCCGGGCACAGGCTGACCTGCTGGCCACGTCCTCCTCTGCGCCTTTGTCCAGCACACTGCTCAGGTTGTGCTCAGCCTGGGTCTCCTCCGGCACCTCCTCCAGCTCCTCGGCCTGCTTCACAGACAGGCGGTAGTTCTCCAGCTCAATCCTTTCTGGAGTCCCCCTGAGTCTCTTAGCAATGCTAGGCTCTTCCAGCCCATTCACACTTGAACCTGCAAAATAAGTGAAGTAGCAAAGTTCTAGGACGAGTGATGGGAAATGAACATGGGCGGCGGGGGATGGAGAAAGCGCAGGGAGGGAGGAGGCGCCGACAGAAGGACATCTGAGCCATCAAGGGGGCCCCCACTGATTTCAGTGAAAGGAGGAACAGGGCCTCCACGAAGCCCAGGGAGCCAGACAAGGGACGGCCTGCAAGTCAGTAAGGTCACAGAGGCCAGGAAAGGACTGGGCTGAAAGTGGCAGCCCTTCCCTGAGCAGAAACAAAAGTCAGCCCCTGAAGCAGGGCATGGGCTCACTCTCGAGACTCTGTCATCCAGCAACCCACGCCCAGTGGAGGAAAGAAGTGGTGTGACTGTCGGGGAGGGGGTAAAGCAAGCGCTTTTCGCTGACCCCGCCCCTCTAAAGCAGCTTTCATGGAGAAGGTAAAGCTTGCCAGCTGCCCCCCACCCTGATTATCCAGGACCCAGTCAAGGCTCATGCCCTGCAACTGGCCGATCTGCGGAGGTGTCCAGGCCAGCTACCTGCAGACCTCTCACACTGTGGAAGTGTCTGCCCCGTCACGACTGGATTCATGGAATACATTTCCTATTTAACAAGAACACATAGGTGATGCTGTGCCCCTTCTGCTGCACACAGTTAGGAGGAATATTGTCACGTTGCCTCATTCTTGGTGATACCAGCTTGACTGCTTGGGTAAGGTGGTGCCCAACCATCTTTCTGCTGTAAAGAGAGGATTTCCCCCTTTGTAATTGATGAGCAATCCATGGGGTGACAATGTAGAAACCATGGGACTATCTCGTTCCACTTTACTTTCATCCAGTGGTTTTCATACTAATCCACTGATGAATGGTGATTGTAAAAATGTTATCCTTCCTTCTCCATGGTCATTCTTTGAAAACAACTTTTCCCATTTCTCTGAGTACCACCATGACTCATGAATTTTGAAAAACTTAGATGTTGTATTTGACTACTATGTCTTCTTAGTCTCCTTTAATCTAGAAGTTTCCCTGTTTCCCTCATTATTATTTGATGTACCTTTTAATCCCAAATTTGGTCAGAAGAAGCCTACCATATATATTCTTTAACATCTTCACTGTAATAGGATATAGTCTCCAAGCTTAGAGTCAGACAAATCCAGGCTAGCCACTGGGCTCCGTCAGTGACCGACTAAAGGATCTCAGGAAAATTATGTACCGACTAAAGGATCTCAGGAAAATTATGTAACTCATTATGTAAATATGAGTTAAGTGATATAACTGCTGCCCAGTAACATTCTTAGCATCAGTTTGTATGTATTTTTGTGCAGGTGTGTTGTATCCATTTGCTCTGGATTATGAACAACAGTTATTTGACAAAGATAGGCAGGGAGTTCTGGGCAGAGGAAACAGCAACAGCTAAGGTACATGCACTGGTAGCCTGGTATTACTAGACCTTCTGGTGGCAGTGCACTTGAAGTGGTAAAGAGAGACTGGGGTAAGAACAGAGCATGCATGGCCTCTGGTGCCATAACACTGGGTTTTGTCAGGCAACATCATACCAACCCAGTGTTGAGTGACAGGTGGCCTATCAGGTAAAGGCCAGAACCTCTGTAATGAAGGATTAAAGGAAAGGGGTGGGAATATTGAATTAGTAATATTCGTGACACGACAAGTGTACAGAAAATCTTCTGGAAGCCTGACACTTTTGTTGTGTACAATGTTCTCAACCTCTCTGTAATATCATTAGAAAGAACTTTATGAATCCAGGTAGTCACAGAATAAAGTCTGAGTGCATCTGCTGAATTATCAGAATCTTCCACCAAATAGCATCTTTCCAATTTACTAGAGAATCTTTACTGAAAAGCAAGAGCTAGGGCACGTTCAGCTATAAATTCAGGTAAATGTCTAACAATGGGGTCAGAACATGAATCCTTGGGCTCACTACGGCCCTGTGCAACACCCACCTGTACTAGTCTTTGTAACCCTAGTTGGGGCACTTTACACATCCCTGGTCCACTCTTCAACACTGAGTTCAGGGCCCAAAGTGTAAGCTATAATGCTGCTTCAGGGCAGCTGGACGATTAGGAAATATGTGGGCTTCAGGTAATAGAAAAAAGAGACAGGGAGCATAGCAGGTGGATGCTGCCTCAGCATCCTTCACACTTAACCCCCCCACCCCAACCCCAGGCCCCTGGAGTCACAGGCTCCAAATGCACTAGTTCATCATTTCCAGACATCAGTCTTCCTGTCCTCCTTCCCCTCATCAAGACCCAACATGATAAACATGAGAAGGCTAAGGATTCCCTGACTATAATATCACTTGATTCTTTCCTTCCTGTCATGTATTTTTGATAAACATCCTTAAAACAGAAAGCGGACAAGAAAGTCAAATAAATGTGAAGCCACTACCAAAGTATAAAGTTTTGGGGAACTCCATAGATAAAGAATAAAAATCAGTATTTCTTTTAGCGAGGGAACAACAACAACAAAAAAAAAAGAATAAGAACTACCACTTCAGGGAAACAAACAACTAACACTCATCAGTGTAGATCCAAGTAATTTCAAGGTAGAGTGAACAAACACAATGATGCAGAGAAACACTCAAGACGTGATGTCTGTGTTTAGTGGGTAAAAACCATACTCTGCCAGAAATTCTACCAGAACCTTGGGCATCAAAGCAGATTAAAACACTCTCCTACTCTTAAAGAGCTGTGGGTGAGTCACAGAAGAGACAGTCCTGCCCAGGAATCATTTCAGTACAATGTAGCTTATGCCTGCATGTGGTGCTATGTGTGTACATAAAAGGGCAACTCTACCTAGGGACATCAAGGAAGATGTTCTGGAGTCAAGGAATATGGAGGTAGCTTAGCCAGCTTTAAAAAAAATTCCCAGAAGGGGCACTTGGGTGGCTCAGTCGGTTAAGCGTCTGACCTCAGCTCAGGTCATGATCTCACAGTTCGTGAGTTCGAGCCCTGCATTGGACTCTGTGCTGACATCTCAGAGCTTGCAGCCTGCATCAGAGTCTGTGTCTCCCCGCCCTGTCCATAACCTCAAAAGGCCATGGGGAATTGGAAGGGAGGAAGGAAGGGAGGGAGAAAGGGAGGTAAGGAGGGAGGGGAAATCCACAAAATCAGCATGGTTGGTTCTCTGTGCTAAAGCAAGGGGCTATCTTCTAGACTAACCAGATGGGGATGATAAACTAAGACCTCAAAGAAAGGAACAGTGAAGGAGACCTGGGCAGCGGCTATAACACTGTGACAAACACTGAACTTCCCCCCCACCCCCCTCATCCCCTGGATCCTCCCTCTCTCAACTAACAGAAGAGCACAAGGAAGCAAAGACTGTAGGCGGGCAGATGTAAAAATAGCTGACAGATCCTGGTTTGGCAAGTGACTGTATAACCAGTGGGGTCAGACTGGCTGGCCCAGGCCCACCTGGCCTCTCCACTTCACATGCCTCAGTGCAACAGCAACTACACAGGGACTTTCCAGCTAAAAGTGGATGAGAGATTTGGAATGATTTCTGAGGCTGAGTCTTCACTAAGTCAGGGCAGGCAGATCTCAGGTCATTGGAGGCCAATTCCAGCTTCACACATACCAAAAGGAAACCGCTCCCAGGATCTGGGTCGCATCCTAAATAGGAAAAAGGCGCTGGGCCTGACCTAATGGCTCTGTTTTGGAACAGTCACTGCCTGCATGAGCTCCATACATCATCCTGAAAGAAATATTTTTCCTAACAGGACGACCTGCTCTCAGCTGATGTGCCACAGCTGCCAAAAGCCTTTATTTGTGTCTGTCTGATTCCTGAAGGGATGTGAGGGATGTATATGACACTCTCAAGGCAGGCCTTCCCAGTCCTCGGCAGGAAGTTCTTCTTTCCCCTTTCCCTCCTGGAGTGGCAGCAACACCCTAGTATAAGGTAGGGCCAGCTGCATAGGACACTGTAGGACTTTGGGCAACTGTGAAGGGTATGATCTAAGAGACCAGAACATGTGAGGGGACTCTCTCCTTCTGCCCATATTCACTTCTGGCCTGTTTCTTCATTCCTCTTTTTTTTCCTTCTGTATAAGCTTGGGAAAGCGTGAATTAGATCTGAAAGTCTAAAAAGGACTCAGGAAAGGCACCATAAACTGAGACTGATGATTGATTTTCATCATATTCCCCATATCTAGGGTTCATTCATTCAAGCATACATTCAACAAATATTTATTGAATAGCTACTTCCAGCCAGGGACGGTGCTAGGTGCTCAGGCTCACCAGCAGACAACACAGGCAAGATCTCTGCCCCTGGAGAGCCTGCACTCTGATGGACTATGGGTGTCACCTTCCTGCTAAGAGAAACCAGTGACCCAGGGTGTCAAAAGGTGTCAACTGTGGCCATGTTCTAATAAGAAATGGCCCTGTGATATGAAATGATTGGTATCATTTGAGGAGAAAAGTGCTCTTGCCATTTTGGAATTCAGAGATTTTTCCCTTCAGGGGTGCTCTTTCTTACTTCTATTTCTCTTATCAAAAGTTACTGGCTATTTTTATTGCAACTTCTTTTTTTTTTAAGGAAGATTAACTAATTTCAGGATGGCCTCCTCACACATTCACCAAAAAGCCTTGCCTGTCCAAAATCCTGGATGAAGGAAAGCACCAAGCCATGAACTAGGTCTGAGCTACAAAGGTCTCAAGGAAGTGTTATGGAAAATGAAGTTTCCTGGAGAAAATTACCAGGCTAGCAATACAATTCTAAATTCACAGACCCTCTGCAGAATCTGTCACAGTGACTTTTATGTTACCTGATTGTTCACTGGTGTCAGAAACATTCACAAAATCACCCTGGGAGATTAGGGCGTCCCTCCTCACACAGAACCCCAACCCTTATAAGGTTATAAGGGGGAATTTGTGCCTTAATTTTTTTTTCTCTCTGCTCTTGTCAGAAATGATACAGAAACTACACTCCCATGTTTCCTCATATACTGGGAAATATGAATGAAACCATCTGAAGTGATGGCTGGTCTAAAACAGAAC